TTATGGACTCTACCAGATACAGGCCAACGTATTCTAGGGTTTGTCCTTGTGGCTTGTTGATGGTCACGGCAAAGAAGAGCTTGACAGGGAACTGGAACCTCTTGAACGCGATGGCCTGTACGCCAATGTCGCCGCCGGTAAGGGGGATCCTTGGAATGAATAATTCTTTGCCAGTGTGGGGTCCGAAAGTGATTGTTACGTTGATTGAGTGCTTTCCCAGTTGCTTGCACAACAATCGTGTTCCGTTTGAGAGGCCTTCGGTCGGGTTGAGGTTGCGTATGAGCATTATGGGGCTGTTGTACTTCAGGACCAGCTTGTGAGGAGGTAAGCCTTTCAGATTTATAGAGTTCAGGAAATCTTCATAATCGACCTGGTACTTCTATTCGAGAGTCCTGTCCTCGCTCGTGTATGTGTGTGCCTCTCCTGGGAAACGGTCGATTAACTCTGCATTCAGTGCGTTGACAGTGACGTTGGTTAGTGCCAAGATTGACCTCTTCATCATGTAGGACTGATTGTTTGCGCAGTAGTCCAGATTTGAGAACACGGAAGCGACGAGCCTGTGCGATAGATATTCATGTGAATTTTTTATTTTTTGTTGTTGATTTTTTAACTAAGACAAATGAAAAAGATAGGTAAAAAGATTATTGAAAATTAAAGTAGATGGATTGCAATAGTCGGCGTACCTGTGCAGGGATCTTTCCCTATCATCATAGGGTACCATGAATTCTTCGGGGAGCTCTATATGGGATGACTCGTTCACTGGTTCCGTTCCCTCGCTGAATCTGAGTAGGAAAGATGCGAAAAGTGGAACAAACACCGCCCGCATGTTGGTCGTGAGCTTGAGCTTCTGGATTCTAGGCCACAGGGATGAATTGACAACTGAATTGTTGATCATGTCCTCTTTTGACCCGTTCTGAATGACTGGCAGTATCTGTTGAAAGTCGCTGCCGAAAACCACCACTTTTTCGTCGAATGGAAACTCGTTACCCATCAGGTCCCGCATCAGTGCGTCGAACGATTCGAGGCTTGCCTTCCTCGCCAGACGATCAGTTTCGAGTCGATTATTAGCCTTGCCATGCTGATCTGCTTGCTGACCTGGCATGTTGAGCCCTCGTCGTCATTCACTGGTAGCTTGAAACGATTGTGCTCTGTAAGTCCGCCTGGCAGGGCAAACCCTGCCACACCTGACGTTGCTACTGCGAGGGCCACGTCACCTTGCGATCTCGCTGTAGCTAGGAGAGTCCAGTACCGGAAGATTTTCCTTGTTCCGATCTCGTTGTTGGACGAAACCGCTCCCATGATGATCGTGTCGTATGCAGCTCGCTGGTTGGCGTTCATGAGCTGCGTGTGTATTGTGAGGTCTTTGGGCGCCACTTGTGGGTAGACAATTGTGACCTTTTTTTTCTTTCCACTTTTTTCTTCGATGAGTGCAAAATTTGATGTTCGTTATTGATTTGAGCATTTCGAATTTTAATGGGTTTAGTAATTATAGTCAATTGAGTCGAAGCTGGCATGAAATTGAACCTTATCGCTGTTTCTGGATTTATTCTGTCCGAAATGTGAATCAGTCTGGTTCTTCCAGTGAGTAAAGTCCTTTCCCATAACTGTTAAAGTGACAAAATATAGGCCACTTTTGTGGAAGAATACAGTGAGCATGAAGTAACTTCTCCTATATTTGTGAAAGAATATAATGCCTCTAAAAAGTTTAAAAGCTTGCAGCCACTTTTCCTACTACTATCCGTGTCGCGCAAGTACATTTTTGAATCATTTTACTCTTTTTTTTATCGAAAAATATAAGTTACGATAAATAAATATAAGTTATGATAAATATTAATTTGAATATCTATATTTGCGAGCAAATAGTTGACGAGAAAGTGTAAAAATAGTTGATTTTCAATGTATTATGTGTAAAATGGTCCAGTTATAATTATGTGTTTCTTTTAATTATAAAATGGAAAGGTATAGATAATACATGAGTATGTTTAGTTGAAAGAAATGCCCTTTCATTATTTTACCCCCTCTGCTTTCGAAAAGGTCTATTATGTTAAATTTTATTTACACATCTAATTGTTTTTGGAAAAAAAAAGCTTAGCCATTCATTTTTTTTTTATTTACATACATTAGCATATGTTTTAATAAATATTTAATATTTTCTTTATTTCAAAATTAATATCAAACCGTATACAAATTGGGAAATTCCATTTCATTATATACACATTCAAGGCAAATGAATTATATTTTGACAGAAGTATAACCCAAACAACAAAGGATTAAAATTGAAGAGAAGAATAATCATCATTTGGTTGATAGAGAAATTGGGAGCTAAAAAAAATACAATAAGAAGACATCAGAAAACTTCTTGGGGCTGAAATCTTAAAAATGAAAAGTGTACCAGTTTGCACGACACTTGCTTCCTCGGGTCCCGAATGGTGTCATCCTTACAGAAGTTCATACGGAATTTCTTCCTAAGCTAATCGATCAGATCAACCTCGATAATCTATTGTCGCAGCTTGAATGAGGGATAGTATAAAAATAATTGATGAAAAATGTAAAACTAGATTATTTTTATTGAGTTATAAATTAAGAAATTAAACTACAATCACGTATTTTTTAATTATGAAATGGAAGAGTATAATGAATATATAAAGTAAATATATTTGAAATAGTTCGCTCCCAAAAAAAAAAGTTCGTGCACCTTTACCGTCTAAGGTCTCAGGTTCTGATCGAACATAGATAGTTCAATTTTTCTGAATCATAGATAACAGGAATGAAGTCTAAGAAGATCTAAAAAGATTTAGTCTCTCTCATCTGGAGTGGTAAATAATCCAGTAGCTGAACTCAACTAAAATAATCAAATAGTTGGTAGTAAAATAATGCAATCAGTTTAGCACTTTAGTTTTCATATACTTGTTTTCGTTTTTGCCGCCAAATAATTAAACAAAATCAAAATCTAATCAGTTTTGTGCTTTAGTTTGCATAAACTTGTTATCTTTTTTTTTTTTTTTTGTCTCTGGAAGCTTTGGGAGTTATAATGTATTATCATTGTATCAGTTATTTGGGAGTTAAACTTGTTATCTCTTTGTCTCAAAATAATTGTTATATTATTTTTACTTTTAATATAAATTGCTGTCGAATGAAGATGATATTTCCCTGTAAAGTAAACATATCCACTGCCACTATTCTGAATCCTTTTTATTTTTAAACCTTTTAGCATTCCGTAGAATTTTTATCTTTATTTATTTATTTTTGTGTAATGGTAGAAATTTTGTTAGTCCTTTCATTTTGTGATACGTTTCCTTGCAAAAAGGACATCTGCACGGGAGCCTCTCTGTTCCAACAGAAGAAAGCTTCAACTGTTGATGAGCAATAATGACTAACTTCTAAGTCTAACATATTATGCCTTTAGTAGCTCTAAATGTCTTAGAAAACAAGTGGAATTGCTCGCAAGGGATGTGCCTTCTGCAATGTAATCCCAAACTTCTCTTCCATGTCCAACTCCTCCGGCCTAATATCACCTTCTAGTTTCCAATCGAAGACATTTAAAAGCGTACCCAACATCACATGAACTATCCTTATTGCCAATGACATTCCGGGACAGATCCTTCTCCCAGCACCAAACGGTATCAGCTCGAAATCTCGCCCCCGAATATCTATTCCAGATTCAAGGAACCTCTCTGGCTTAAACACCAATGCATCCTCCCAAATTGTATCGTCGCGGCCAATTGCCCAGGCATTCACTAGAACTTGTGATCCTGCTGGAATAGTGTAGCCATACAACTCGACATCTCGCTCCACTTTGCGAGGAATCAAGAATGGCGCGGGCGGATGCATTCTTAAGGTTTCTTTCAACACGCATTGCAAGTAAGGCAAGTTAGCCAGATCAGTTTCCGCTATTTGCTTCCTTCTCCCGACTACTTTTGCCAGCTCTGCTTGAGCTTTCTCTAAAGTTCGAGGATTTCTGATCAATTCTGCCATTGCCCACTCTACAGTACTTGAAGTTGTATCTGTTCCTGCTCCAAATAGGTCCTGCATAACAATTGATATAAATTGATATCAATATTTGCATTAATTCCCAATTAAAACTAAAAGGAAAAAAAAAAGGATATATAAACCAGGAACATGTGCTCTATCAGATTCTTATCCATCTCATGTTGATTTTCTTCACTTAAATTAAGTAGGTCATCGAGCAAATCCTTGGTTGAACCTCCAGATTTCCTGCTTTCTATTCTTTCCGCGATTAGGCCTCGAAACAACTCAAACACCTTATTGTTATGAGCAGTCATACGGCGCCTGACGCCTTGAGGATCAAACTTCTTAAGCACAGGGAAGAAGTCAACCACATTAGGTCTGGCAGCCTCCACCATGAGTTGCCACACCAAGTCCTTGAATTCTTTTGCGGAATCAGCAAAAGGGTCTGTGAAATCCTTGGAGAACATGATGTTGGACAGCAAGTTCAGGGAAGTTGTAAAGGCGGCTCTGCCGATATCCACAGCTTCTCCTGATAGACGATTCTTTTCGCAATAGGCAACGAGGTCCTGAACCTTTTCAGACCTTAGTTTCTGATTAGCATCAATTCGGTTGGCTGAAAAGATGTAGGTGTTCATGATCCTTCGAAGACTTCTCCATCTGGCTGCAACAGGCAGCCACACAACAGAGTATTGGTAGTGGTTTTGGGCATGCACCGAATCAGGCGCTGACCTGCTGCTGAATTCCAAATCTTGTTTTTGGAGAACTTCTTTAGCAATTACTGAAGAAGAAACGATCACAGTGGTTATCTGCCCGAACTTTAAACTCAAAAGAGGACCATGAGCTTTGGCGAGCTTCGCGAGGGACTTGTGAGGTTGGGCACCTAATAAATGGAGGTTTCCGATGATTGGGAAGGGAATTGGTCCTGGAGGATACCTTTTACTCTTTCCAGTTGCAAGACTAATGACCCACATCAATGACAAAGGAAAGATTAACCAAAGAAAAACAGCCATGAAGGTATCCATTTTGTTCTTCTTCCCAATTTGTGCCTGATGTTTTCTCACTTATACGCTTATTTATAGCTTGTTTTTTTCAGCTTTGGAAATGGTCATCAACTTTGACTTCAAAAAAACTTGCGTAGTAGTTAAGATTACGCACTTTGAACATTACATGTAATTGGAGGAAACATTACCAGAAAGCTCACATTTTTTACTATAAAGTAAAAAGTTTTACCTCATTGCATTCGTTCACAGTCGCACACAATTGTTGACAATTTGACATCTATATATTCAGTGATTACTATTCATTGAAATGTAAGTAAAAGGGAATTTCCACACATTGAACAAGTTTTGATTTCATATTATAATCTCAATGAGGGCCAACCGGGTAAAGATGTTTATAAATTTCTTATTTCAAGCGCTTGCAAGGCTACCATAAATCTCAAAGACAAACTGGAACAGCTAGTAACGGGTTTGCTTTCTGGATCGTAATGCCAAACTTCTCTTCCATGTCCAAGTCTTTTGGCGCCATGCCGCCTTCAAGCTTCCAGTCAAACGAATTCAGCAGTGAACCAAGCATTACAGGAACCATCCTCACCGCTAACGGCAATCCAGGGCAGATTCTTCTCCCAGCACCAAACGGAAGCAGCTCGAAATCTCTTCCCCTGATGTCAAGTTCTGATTCCATGAACCTCTCAGGCTTGAATTCCAGGGCGTTGTCCCAAATAGTATCGTCACGCCCAATGGCCCATACGTTCACTAGAACTTGAGTTCCTTTGGGCACATTGTAGCCACAAACCTCAACATCTTGATCTACTTTTCGTGGGATCAGGAAAGGAACAGGAGGGTGCAGCCTTAAGGTCTCCTTCACTATGCATCGCAAGTAAGGCAACCGAGAAACATCGGCTTCTTCAATTAGCTTCCCTTTTCCGATTATTTCTGAAAGTTCAGCTTTGGCTTTCTTCATTTTCTCTGGATTCTTAAGTACCTCTGCCATTGCCCACTCCAATGTATTAGAAGTCGTGTCTGTTCCTGCTACAAACAGGTCCTGTAACATGAAAAATGTCGGTAAATAAATCGCTAACAGAATATGTTGACACTGGGGAAAAAAAAGATATAAAATGAGTACAAAGACACAAACCAAGCACAAGCGTTCAATATGAGTCCTATCGATCTCATCAGGAGCTTCTTTGCTTGTAGTGAGGAGGATATCCAGAACATCATTGTCGACGTGTCTGGATTTCCCGTTCTGCAATCTTTCATTAATCAGGTCGCCAAACATCTGAAGCACCTTACCGAAATGAATCGTCATGCGACGCCTAATCCCCTGAGGATCAATTTTTTCAAGAGCAGGGTAGAAATCAACCAGGTTTGGTTTGCCAGCCTCCAACATAATGTTCCAAACCAAATCCTTAAATTCTTTTGCAGAATCAGAATAAGGGTCAGTCAAATCCTTTGAGAAAATGGTGTTCGAAAGCAAATTCAGGGAAGTCCTGAAAGCTGCTCTGCCAACATCTACAGCCCCACCCGTTTGGGAATTTTTCCGACAGTAAGCCACCAGCTCCTGGACCTTCCTACACCTTAAATGCTGGTTGGCATCAAGCCTGTTACCCGAAAAGATATTCGAATTCAGGGTTTTCCGGAGACTCCTCCACCGACTGGCAACCGGCAGCCAAACAACCGAATACTGGAATTGATTGTGAGCATGGAGTGCATCAGGGATGGACCTGCTGGAGAATGCTAAATCCTGTTTTTGAAGGACTTCTTTCGCCATCGCGGACGAGGAAACGACAACAGTCGTTACCTGCCCGAACTTCAGGCTCATGAGAGGGCCATGTTTTTTGGCTAATTTGGCTAAAGATTGGTGAGGTTTGTCACCTAACAAGTGAAGACTACCGATAAGGGGCAATGGGGTTGGCCCTGGAGGAAGCTTTTGTCTTCTCCTTGACAGAAAACTCAGACCCTGATGCAGAGTTAAGGCAAATAACAATCCTAGAACAATGGTGAAGTAATCCATTGTTTGAACAGATTTTTTTTTTTTTTTTTGAGGAGATTTTGGTAGTCCAGAGCCCTCCTCATCCAGGTCTAATATACTGGTTAATCAGCCACGTGCAGCTCGAGTTCCCCTTCAGAAAACTGTATCCTTTTCCAGTTTTTATTCATTTGACAGATACTGTACCATACTTAAACACTGTTTTTGATCATCTGACTCTAAACGCTGGTTTCCTTCCTCAGCGGTAACTGTCACTTTCCTTGTAATGCCACCACAAATAATAAGTGCAAGAAAATAAAAATAAAAATATTTCTTTCGGCTAAAAAAGAAAAAAGAATCCACTTAGTTATTATTTTAATGAACGAAATAATTTCTTTATAAACTGGGGTTGGAAACAACCAAATGACTCATAGAGCTGCCAATTCCAATACCCAACTTTTTTTTTTTTCCTTGTCTTTTTTCTTTTTATTCAACATTTCCGACATTAATTTTATGTCCTCGCGCGAGACTCGTGTGAATTTAGAATTCGTTCAGAAATTTTTGGTCGGTTTTGAAGATTTATGGATGACTTTCTTCTTCCGCCAAATTAGAACTAAAATTAGGTTCTCTGGTGCCCGGAGAACCTTTCTTTTTATGATTAAAGCGACCTCCCAATAATTTCCCTTCTTTCATGAAACCACTAAGTTCATAAGTAGACCATAACTTTTACTTAAATTAGTAGCAATCACCATTAATCATGGTTCATTGTCCATCTTCAGGGTATGAAAGAAGTCCTAACATTGTGATGCTTAGGCTTTGTTTGAATTTTTTTTTTGATGGTGTTTTTTCTCTAATTTATAATTAATATTTTCACTTTCTCCATATACCATTTTAATTTGCATCGATCTCTAACACACTAGTTTTTCTTAAAAAAAAAGAACTTTTCCAAAGCTAAGGTACACACAATGAGAAACGTTTCAAGCCAACGTCAACTTGTGGGGCTTAAATTTGACAACGGTTGTTGATAGTTTTTTTCTGGTAACCTCAACACCATGGAAATTAAGCAAAAAGTGGCAAAATATGCTTATGTGCAATACATTGTATGACTTAATAAATTGTTACGTGCTTTTGACTACTGCTTCATCGTATATTTTTCAGATAGCCATATGGAATATAAAAGAATCGATACAGCTAATGCGACTATCTGAATCGATACAGCTTAAATCCCCCACGGTTATATCATCAATAATTAACGAGAGAAGAACTGTTAATAGAAATTAATGATTGATAAAAGACCAAATCGTCAATTGTATACTCTTTATTAATATTACATGAAATAAATTTTTTTCCTCATGTGCTAGTATATCATTTCACTTTTCCAAAATCGCCATTTCTATCATTTGCATCTATTGATATGGTAAAACATAAAAAATAAATGGATGAAGTAAATTTAACAGCTATCATTTTGCATGCATTTGTCCACTTCGAACGTGGCACACTTTCTATACAAAACAAACTATAAGAAGAAGACGAAATAATATTGAAGATGTACAAAATAATATGACAATATAAGAAAAGGCAATGAAATTCATAGTTACATTTCAAGGTTGCCATTTGATTTTGGTAGAATAAATACTCTCTCTTCTTTTTCTTTTTTTGTTTTTCCATATAACCATAAATTTTTTCCCCACCATGCTATATGAAAAAAATACCGATCCCTAAATTTCTAAAAAAATGATTTAAATCTTTATACCAACAGGTTAGGAAGATATTCCCAATATATATCTCCATCTTTAACTCTCGGTTTATCCTTAGGAGGGTTAATTGTGAATCTTAAAAGACCCGGACGAATTGATCTGATCTACGGTATTTGTAAAAAGAAGTTGATTGAGAATTAAACCTAATAACTTGGGTAAATCTAAAATCTAAGCGAAAAGAGGAGAAATTTTTTACCGCCAAAAATAAACACGTTTGTATTAATTCTGGCGTCATGCCAAAAGACCATGTTAATCCCATCCTAAGAGAAAAAGATAGAATTTTGTTTGTTGTACTTGTACCACCTGCTTTAGTTTAACAAATATGATTTTAATTTTGAATATCAAATGTATAATATATTCCTTTCGTCCTAAAATTATTGTCCAATTTAGTACAAAATGAACTAAAAGTGAAGATTCAAATATGACAATAATTAATTATAGGACAGAGGCAATATTACACCTTTTCTATTAAGCATGGCTTATCTAACTAGGAGAACAGATAATCTAAACAAGTATTGTTGAATTCAAGTGAAATGGTCATGCTTAAACGATTAATTAGGATTTTAGTTTGGAAAATATTTTATTTTAGAAATGGCATTAGGATTTAGGAGTAATACTTTTTATTTAAGATTCCTACAGTAATAAACGGTTCTAAAGAAGGACAGATTAAAATATTACTAACAAGTGTACAACTCGAGGTCCTCGTGGCTACTAACAACCATGCATAACGCATTAAACAATATATTATACCTACCAAATACTTGGAATCAGATAATACGACAAATTTTGAATCCATTAATTTTTGTTCAAATTTTTTTTTTTAAAATCTTTTTCCTTAAATTTGATCATTTGTAGTAAAACGATTTGTTCGTCACAATGTTGAAGTGTTCCTATCTTCATTGCTATAAAATCCCGGCAAGGATTGGAGGCTGGCATAAGGTTCAAAGAAGCAGCATTGTCAAAATGGCCGCCACCACCAATCAGCAGAAGCATTTCGTCGCCGTCCACGGCGTTGGTCACGGTGCATGGGTATATTACAAGCTGAAACCCCGCATTGAGGCCGCCGGACACCGTTTCACCCCGGTTGACCTCGCAGGTGCCGGAGTCAACGAAACCAAACTCGAAGAGATTCGTTCCCTGCATGATTACACTAAGCCGTTGTTGGATGTCTTGGCAGCCGTCCCGGAAAATGAGAAGGTGGTGCTGATCGGCCACAGTGGGGGCGGCATGAGCGCCGCCGTCGGGATGGAGAAATACCCGAACAAAATCTCCCTTGCCATATTCTTGAACGCCATAATGCCAGACACCAAAAACCGACCTTCCTATGTTTTGGAAAAGGTAATTTCTTCTTCCTCTTTTCTTCACATGCAAATGATTAATTAAAATGATCAATTCCATTTATTTTCAAACATAACAAATTTATTTTTGTTTTTGATAAAGTATTCTGCTGGGACTCCACTTGATGCATGGAAGGATACGAAATTTACCGTCTACGGAGACCCGCCAATTACCGCATTGCTTTCTGGGCCAGAATTTATCGCTACTACACTGTACCATCTCTCTCCTAAAGAGGCAAGTTTTTCCAATTCAATTGTCTATATTGTATACTAAAACGTGACATGAGCGTAATTTAAAATGATATTTTCTGTCTAAAAAAATAAAATAAAATTCATTGAGTTTTTAAATTCGTAATTAAAAATAGTGCAAATCTCAAAATTCAATGTATATTAATATTTTTTTTTTTGGTTAGATTGTAGACTTTCACGGCACAAATTAACAGATTTTTTTTTCCAGGCATCTTGTCTTTAGCGTTGTATTAAGAGATTTACATGTTTGTGATTATATGATGATAAAATGATTGCTATTTCGGTCAATACAAATTTTTTAAGAAACTTGCAATTGTCTTATGAACAGGATCAGGCACTAGGGAACTTGCTGGTGAGACCGGGATCACTTTTCATTGAAGATTTGGTAACGTTAGACAAGTTCACGGACCAAGGATTCGGATCGGTTCTGCGAGCTTACATAATTGCTGCCGACGACAAAACTATTCCGGCAGAGTTCCAGAAGTGGATGATCGAGAACAACCCGGTGAAGGAAGTGAAAGAGATCAAAGGTGCTGACCATATGCCAATGTTCACTCAACCTGACGAATTGTGCAAAAATCTGGTGGAATTGGCCCAGAAATATGCTTGACCTTTTGGAGGCAACGTTACTAATCGTGGATCCGATGTTTGAGAGTTCTTATGCAGCTCTCTACTAATAAAAAACCGTGTGAACGTCAATATTTCTCGAGGCTGTGTTTTGGGGGGTGAATTTTATTTGTTGCTTTTTCTGTTATCTTTATCTAGAAAGTTGCCGTAATAAACATTAATCACCTGTTCAGTGGCATTATTCTATTATTAAGTTTTTTTTTTTTTTTTGGGTGTGAAACCTCCCTTTTTTTTGGTTACAAATTGTAGTCTGAAACGTTAAAAACTTGCCACAGTAGGGTTTAGTTCTTGGAAACTTCACGCGGTTATAAATGAAATTTTTCATTTTACTACCAACTAATTAAAAGAAGAAGAAGAAGAAGTAAATAAACAAGATAATCAATGGAAAGGTGGACCCAAAAGTATTTTAGCCAAAACAATGTCCACAAATCATGTGGCCTTGGAAAGTGTTGGCTAAACTAACTTGCAATGACTATATCTCTCTTTGACAAATCAGTACAAGGTAGTTTTGATTTTGACAATTGTAATCATAAATTCAGTATTCCACTCCGTCCAAAAATTAAAATAAAAAAAAAAAGTTACCACAGCACTTCTCATTTGTTATACTTTATTTTAATTTCTTTTTTTTTTTAAACATTTTCAACTAAAAACATAAAGTAGAAACAGTATGAAAAGATGTGCTCGAGATTTCATCAAACCAACACGTGCAAAATTCGAATGGACACTGTGGAAGCAATTCAGGAAATAGGACCAACTCGTCCTTGCAAATCAAAAAACAACTTGCAAAATGAATATTTTCTCCCTCCCAATAAAACAATCTATGTTGACTGTTGATATTTGTAATAAATTTTGTGTAAATTTTAAAATTTAATATGAACTATTTTTTTTTACTGGAAAAAGTACACTACTAACCAACTTGTAGAAATAACACCCTTAGTACTGTTGCTGATATTTAGAGTAGTAAAAGGGTACCATAATTCATAATTTGATTATTTTATGATACCCAATAAATGTGGCCTTAAAAAAAATCATAGTACATTCATGAAATTTTGGAGCAACGTTCAATTTTATGGTAGCCTAACCTAACTGTATTTTAATCGAGTTAGGGATGAGTCAAAAACAAGGCCGTTCTTCAATTCCACCTTCTTATTCCGATTTATAGTTTCATGGGTTCCGTGAATCAGACCACGTTGAGGATCGGATGGTCCAATATCAAATAAATGTGGGCTTAAAATTGTTAGTAGCCGGATTAGGAAATTAGGTCTCATTCTCAACATATCAATATAAGTAATTTTGGCAGCCAAAACAAATTCAATCGACTTCTTCATTAAAACAATCACTTCTCATTTAATGGAAACCAAAAAAAACAATCAATTTGACATGTGCCATATTAACTTCTAGGAAAGGAAGTAACATTAGAACAATGGTTAATTTGATTTGAGTCATCTGAGATTCCCCGAAAAATAGGACACCAACTTTATAGGTTTTAAGCCTTCTTTCAAATGAAGGACATGTTATGGATCAAACTCTATGATAAAGTAGCTTGCAAGATTTTCTTTGGTTTGTCTCTCTACCAAGTACTTAAAGGAGGTGTAGCTTGCAAATGGACTTCGCAAAGCGAAGATCGCGAAGAAAAGAAGAATACTACACCTTCTTTTTTCTTTTCTTTTTTTTTTTTTTGAAAAAAAAAAACCTTTTAGCACACTATTTGAACTATTCCTCTTTGGTAGAATATCGCACTGATGAAAATACGTTTTAATTTAATGAAACAGAAAAAGAAAAAAAATTAAAAGCGAGTGGTCAAGCGTCAAGACCAATAGGTACCAAACCTAATTTCCATTCGGCAATCCATGGCCCTTCAAATGAACTTCAAAAATGCATTTTTAGTTTTAATTAACTACCGATAGCGATCTCGTTTTGTGTCGTGGTGAAATGTACTATTATTTGAACCTGACAGGGACATATTCAAAAATAATTCTGAAATAGTTTGCGGTTGAAAGCTAAAAACATAGGACTATCAATGACGATCATATGATTGATACCTCTCCCGTGAGTGCGAGCCACACAAACAAATAAGTGTAGTATTTCTTTCGTTCCAAAAAATATTTCATCTACTTACACTGTTTTACCATTTTTATCCTGGACGAAGGAAGTATTTCAAATGTCTATATAATATTCACCATTAGCAAACCACAAAAAGAAAGGAGAAATCAGAATGGAAACAGTGCAGAAACAGCAGCATTTTGTGTTGGTACATGGTGCATGCCATGGAGCTTGGTGCTGGTTCAAGCTCAAACCGCTGCTCGAGTCGGCCGGCCACCGTGTCACCGCCATGGATCTCTCGGCTTCCGGGATCAACCCGAAAGAGATTGAAGAAGTGGTAACCTTTGAGGAATATAGTCTTCCTTTGCTCGAATTCATGACTTCTCTTCCGGCTAATGAAAAAGTCATCCTAGTTGGCCATAGTCTTGGGGGTTTAAACATAGCTCTGGTTTCAGATAAGTACCCGGATAATGTTCTGGTGGCCGTTTATCTGACAGCTTTCATGCCGGATTCTGTTCATGCACCGTCGTATCCTTTGGATCAGGTACATACACATAAGCTATCTCCGTTCACACTTTTTTCTTTCAAGTTGAATTTACTCAAAATTTCTCACTCAATTCCGCATTCTGAAAAGTATCTCGAGCGGATTCCCCTTGAAGCGTTCTTGGACACGGAGTTCAAATCCTATGGCAGCCTAGAACAACCACTAACTACTATGTTCTTCGGGCCGCAGTTTTTTGCCTCCAAACTCTACCAACACACATCTACTCAGGTAACCTTTTAACAATATTGGATCTTTCCAAGAAATATTCCTAACAAATTTTCAATTATCATCTATCTGATCTTCAAAAGTAAAGTTTCTTAGTTTTGGTCTCTTAAATTCTTTTTTGGGTGTTATAGGATCTTGAGTTGGCTAAGTTTTTGGCAAGACCAAGTTCATTATTTCTGGAAGATTTGTCAAAGGTTAAACCGCTTTCAAAACAAGGTTATGGATCAGTAATTCGAGCTTATATCATATGCACGGAGGATAAAGCCATACCAAAAGATATCCAGAACTTGCTCATTGACACAGTTGGGGTCTCCATGGTGAAAGAGATGGAAGACACGGACCATATGCCAATGCTGTCTAAGCCCCAGCAACTTTGCCAGGCACTTCAACAAATTTCTGATGAATTTACAGTATCTAATGGGAATTGCTTGACTTCTATATAGATATATGATCACCATGAATAAGCATATAATAAGGGGACTATTTTTCTAAATACAATCTTATACGTCGGCGGTGTTATACACCCTACGAATCAATCAAACCTTGCTCCCACTAGCAGCTACGAGCTAGCAAATTGCGGATGGCTAGAGTTTGATAGTGATCAGCTGATGTAATTTTTGTATGGACACAAAGGCTTTGTGTGTTAGGTTTTTTTTTATGGTATTTTCAAAATATTTAAATAATAATTGTCCCATCCCAACATAACTTTTTATATTTTCAATACACTTTTTTACATTCACAATACAAAAAACACCTAAAAACACACATTTAAAAAACGAAACAAACATATCCTTTAAAGTTTAGTATTTTAGCCTAAACAATGTTAATTCTTTTTTAGTAAAAAGATCGATATTATTATATATTTATAAAGTCTCTATCGTCAAGAATAATAATAATTTTCCCTCTTTGAATGACAAACACTTCACTGATATGGGCAGCTAGCTATTATGTATTCTCTCTAGTTCTTATATAAAGTATTTTAATTTGTCCTAAGTTTCACCTATTACGCATTTTTAATTGACAAAAAAATTTTAAAAATATTTGTTAACAATCAAGAGAACCCAACAAATGTAAAAATATATCTTTAATGTTTTTTTGATTAAAAATACATAATAAGTGAAATTTAAAACAAATCAAAATGACTTATATTAAGGACCGGAAGGAGTATTTCAAATACTTTTGCCAAAGGCCATTATTTATGAGTAGTGATTAATAAATGATTTTTGGGGCCAAATAGTATTATGAGAAATCTTGGATTAAAAGCAGTATTGGACGATGCATAATTAAGAAAGAGGACAATATCTTTAAATAATTTGTATTATCGACATTATAATTTCATGGTTTAGCAATTGAGGTTTACGGTACGGATAAATCGAATTTTTTTTTAAGAAGCATTTGACCGATCGAAATAGGAGTCGAATAGAACCGTTAACCAAAACAAAAAATCAAAACAAATTCGATTTTTTCTATTGGGTGACCATTTGAACGGGAGTATTATTTTTAATTATAGTAATTAATTTCTTTTAACTAAAATATTTCATGGCTCAGTCATAATATAAATTTGTGAACGTAACTTGTAAACAAAAGGAAAAAAACCATTCCAACAAACATCCAATGTAATTGTAAATTTGTATTACAAATTCCACCAGTTAAAGTAAATTTATTAAATTATCATCGATCAAACTTTCCAATAATTGTACTAAAACAAAATCTAAACATAAGAGATAAAACATAAAATTTTGGGAATGAGGATTTAGTTTAGTGGTAAAATTACCCTTGCTCTAAGAGAATATCATGAGTTCAATCCCACAATCTAACCAAAAGTGAGTGGTTGACTCTCATCTTGCTTATTGGCACCTCTAGAGACTTGTTATAGCTAACCCACTAATGAATTTTTGATTTCGCACCCGAACTTATCACTCCGGGCTTGCTTAGGGTGGTTTACCTCCTACTGCGATTTGCAGGTTATTATAGTGGGCGTGAGTTTACCCATATCTGATGGGATTCCTGATGTTACCAACAAAAAAAAAAACCCATAAAACTTCAAGTCATTCAAATTTCAACTAAATTCATCAGAGACTTGCGGCAGCTTCTAAACCTTAGGTGGTTGGATATTAACAAATTATAATTATATTAATAATATCAACTGTGTAACATTAAACCATAAACTTATTATGCCAACATGATACTTGATATGTTATTTTATATTCATGTTATTACTAATTTGTGCACGTGTAATGTGCGGTTTATCGGTTAATTATATATAGAACCGAATCAAATCACAAATTTTGGTCCGATTAACCAAAATAAAAGCATGCGCACCATTCACTTTTCTTTTTTTTCTAGAAACAGTTTGTTTAAAAATTCAAACCGATAACCATTAGGAACCTAATCAAACATTTCAGGTGCAGTTTGGTTGGGGCGGTTCTTACAGGTCGGTTAAACCATGTCCACCCATTCCTCTTCCTTTATGGGCAGTGTTTCGAAAAATGATTAGAATTTGATGTGGTTAATTTAATTTAATCTCTCCGTTTGAAAAAAGTTAGTTCACATTAATTAAGTTTTTAAATTTGTATTCTATTCCAAAAAAAGTCCATGTTGACACTCCTAGTATTTTTGACATAAGATGAAGTAGAAATCAGATGATGGTGTTCAAGTGGATGGAAAAACTTCCCAACAAGTCAATCAAGATCCTTTGTTTAATATTGGAGGTCCGGTGACCCAATCTCGTGCGAAGAAAAGAGATGAAAAGTTCAAAGCTCTAATCCTAAATGTTCATTCTCATGAAAAAGCTCAAAGGATTGATTGCATTCTTTGGGCAACTTCCCTAGCATTGAAGAGTATTAGCCATTTCAAAGAGAGGCCCAAAGAGTTCATCAAGCAGATTGGAAGCACCTGTCGTCGACCTCTTTTTCAGTCGACGAACAAGCCGACGTGATGATGTCGACCATTCTGTCAATCGACGAGAAGGCTGACGCGCACTGACAAACTAGGGTTCCAAATATCCTAGTTTTAAATTTCCTATTTTATTTATTTTCCTTGGATGTTATTGAATTAAATAAGTTTTAAGGGGCTTCTAAATTATTTTGCGACATGTGCAAATATTTAGAAGAGTTATTTTTATATTTTACAATATATTGGGGATTAAATCTACAAATGACCTAAATGTTAGATTTTGACCTAGTTGGCCTTTCTTTTCTTATTAAAAGAAGAGAGGCCACCACTTTGTATTTTTCATACTATTATGGAATTTTCATTACGTGAAAAGAGTGAAACTCTTTGTTCTTAATCCTCTTGAGGTTATTTGACTTGTGCAAATCATAGATTTGCATAAGTAACAAACGTGCCCTTGAGTTTAGTGTTCTCAATCGGTGGAGTTTTATTAGTCGTTTCGTGGAACAATCATCAATTCGTTTTCGTCACAAATCTCAAGGCGAGAATTACTTAGAGTGTACCTAAGGTTACTAGCCATAACACTATTCCATTTCTCTTCTTTATGCCAATTTTGATTCGGATTTTTGTTAGTCCGGGTCTTCTTTTATGCTTTTCTTGGTTTGAATCTAGCAAGGAATCCAAGTTTTGGGGTTGACTCCTCATGAATAGGTAATTTTATATCATTTGGCACCAGAGCTATTTGGTTCTTTGGATTTCTTGTGCGTGTTGAATAAATTAATATCATTTGGTATCACAAGTCTTGGTTTTTGGATTTTTCTTGCTTAGGATATCGAGTGGATCAAGGCTCACCCTTGCGTTGCTCTCATTTGATTTTTTCGTGTCTTTTTTGTTTGGCATCTCTCATGTTGTTATTATTTCTCAGGCCATAATTAAAGTTGAGGTTTTGTTGTGTGCGGTGATGTTTGCTATGTTGGCCGCCTGAAGTGTCTTTGGCGGCGGGAGACTGTTTCCCAAAAAAAAAAAATAGTTGCTTTTGGTTGTTTCGTGGCTGAAATGGGGGTGGTGTGCTTAATTCGTTACCGCGAGGACTAGGCGTAGGGGTCTTGGTTATTTGTTGATCAGATTTGGGGTTCCCAAAAACCCTAGTTTCTGTTTCGTTGTTTGTTCAAAAAAAAAAAAAAAACCGCAGCGGAGAGGTTGTCATATTTAGGGGCAAAAAAAAAAAAAAAACCGAAAAAGAATCTGCTTGGTTGTTGTCACTGTTTTGGCCGCGGAAATATGTCATTTTGGGTTTTGTGTTCTTTGTTGACTGAGCAAGGAAAAACAGAATTAAAAAAAAAAACAGAGAGAGAGAGAGAAAAAAGGGAATTGAGCAGCTTGGTTGGTCTAAAATTTGGTCGGACTTGATGTTTGTTTTTGGATGCAAAATTAAGCTGTCTGTTTGGTGACTTTGCACTTGTTATTTGATATGTTGGGGTCTTGGTTTGGCCGTATAAAACAAAACAAGTAGGAGTCCGAGGATGGTGTTCTTTTGGTCCTAAATTTTAAGGAGTTGCAGCAACTTGTTCTAGAGTTTTTGGTGTGTGGCTTTAATTTTGGGGTTGATTTCAGTCAAAACTTTCAGCTAGTTCATTTTCTTTAGTTAAAAAAAAATTAGAAAAACAAAAAAATAATTTGAAGAGCAAGTGCGTGCAAAAAAAAAAAAAAAAGTGCGCAAGTTTTGAGTTTGGTTTATGGTTTCATTTTGGCCCTAGTTTTTGTTGATTGTTGGCTGGGAAAGGGTGTTGCCCTAGTTCTAAAATTTGCTCCATATTTAGTCCGTTATTGCGAGATTTGCATATTTATATTTGTGATATCCGTAATCTATTTTGTGTTCTTCATAGATTATCACAAATATTTAGGAACTCATCTTTCGTAAAGGTTTCTGTACGCTTGTTATTTGTGCACCTACATTAAGTCTAGTTTTGTTAACTCCTTCGCACAAAAGGATCAAGTTCAAAGACCGTGGAAAGAAACGAGTGAACCCATCCCCTTACTTTATCTAAACTTTTTATGAGTGTTCATTTGGGTTGAGAGTAGTTAGGTTGGGAAGGGGTATACATTACGGGAGTGATATCTTCTATATCTATTTTTTCATGTGCGTGTGCTTTTTGACTTTTATTGTCAGGAACAATGGTGAATACCGATTTGCCTCCTCCTCAACCTGACATGGAGACTGATACTATGAAGCGGTTTGAAGACCGGATGGACTCATTGGCGACCCAAATAGAACAACTTACAACTGCTATGGAACAACAACAACAACAACAAAAGATACAGCAGATTCGACAGGTTTGGAATCCTCTTGTTTTACCTGCAGTTGCCAACCCTCTTTTTGTTGCTCGTCGATTAGCTGGTCCTTTTGGTGGCCAAGGTCACAATGGTGGCCGTGGAAATGGAGGACGAAATGGTGATCGTGCTAATGAGTTCCGTGGAGAGGAAGACAACTAGGGTGAACGCTATAATGATGATGACAGGGGTTTTGACGATGCAGATGATGAGAGGGAGTTTCGTTGAAGACAACCTCGATATGATGATCATAACAATGCCATCAAACAAAAGCTTCCAGAGTTCTATGGTAAGCCCAACCCGGATGCGTACATTGCTTGGGAGGATCATGTGAATCGTCTTTTCAACATCTATAATTACTTGGAAGGGTATAAGTTGAATTTTGCTATTTCTGTGCTTCGTGGTTTTGCCGCGTCTTAGTGGTCTAAATTGCTGCGAAAGAGAAGAAGGGATGGCGACCCTCAGATTACTACTTGACAAGAACTTTCATGAAGGCTTTTGTTCCAGCCTCTTTCCAGA